TGTTTGTGATATTCCACCGCGAGGGCTCAAAATGGCCGCCACATTTATCGGTAATTCCACTGCCATTCAGGAACTCTTCAAACGAGTTTCTGAACAGTTCACAGGTTTTCTTTTCGGCTTTTTATGCAAAACGTACCACTGTTGCAGCAAAGAAACATGCTAGGTCAGGAATTCTATGAGCAAAGTCGCTGAAACTGCACGAGGCCGAGAATTCAAAATTAATATCGCCTTCTCTACTCTGTGCAAGTTCCGCAGAAAAAAGCAAAAAGGAAACCAAAAAGGGGTTCAAAAAAGTTAAAAAAAAACAAAGACAAAAAAGTTTAAAATTTGGGAATAAAGCCTCCTACCGAGCGTGGCAAAAAAAACCAAAATCAAGTTTTGGCAATCCTGAATATTTACCTCAAGTCCAAACCCAGTCGTGTTTTATAACTCAAAAATTGTAAGTTAACGCCTGTGTACCGATTTTTTCTTTTGTCTCTCAACTTGTTTTGTCGAAAAGCCTCTGAAAAAATTGTAGGATGTCCACCAGTACTGGTTAGAGCAACTGGAAAAGTTGTTAACTGCATACGTGGAGAATCACCGTATGAACTATAGCTAATCAAGATGTAAAATATCTGAAAAAACTTTAAATTTAATATGTTTCTTGATGGAGCTTGAAAGGTGATTTTTCTTTTGTTCAGCAATGTTTCGACGAAAAGCTTTCTTGCACTGGTACACTGGTGAAGGTATGGATGAAATGGAATTTACAGAAGCGGAAAGTAACATGAACGATTTGGTTTCCGAATATCAGCAATATCAGGTCCATTAGTTTTAATCAGGTTTCTACAAGAATTTGCGGCAAATTATGTCTCTTGTTATCCAACTGCTGAAAGCGGTTTTCATTTGCAGGATGCAAGTGCCGATGAGGGAGTTGAAGAAGTTGCCGAAGCTCCGGAAACTGAATAAGACTGTGTCAATCTTTCTAAAAGTTGTCGTAATCTGTCTCTCTCTTTCTATCCGTATGCCTCGGGCATAAATTCTTCCTTGTTTCAGTAATTATTTTTGAGAAAAATCAAATGAATTAATGAAGTTCGAACATTCTTTTCATCTCCTGGAGGGATTGCCGGTTCAGCGGTTCTTCGACTGAAACACCCTAGCAAAGCTTCAATAACTTGAACGCACAGCAGTATAGCACTGCCATTCTCGACTTACGCTGATGTACCTTACCGACTGTGAGCATTTCAGATTGCAGAAATTCAGGATATTTTAGAATTCGCAATTCAGAGCTTGCATGTCTCCTATTTTCTTCTACTTTAGCAACTAGCCTTTTAATTTTTGCTAAATTTTACGGATCATTAGCCGCTGATATTAAAATGTTTCCGACCGCGGTTCTGAGCGGTCGCGTATCTTAGCGAAGAATCTTTAAACAAAAAACATCTGAGCAAAAAAAATCTTACAGGTCGCACTTCTCAGCGGCCATAATTCTATATACACATTTTCGACCATTTCTATTACTTTAGCTATCTTTGTCTGCCAGTAATTGTTACTGTCAATTTCGACTAATACAATCACTTTACGCTTTCCCTTGGAAAACTCACGGATATTTGCAAAATGATCGGAACTGTAAAGTATCTTTTTTGGCAACACATCCCCACTCACACTTGTATTCTTTTTTACTCGCCAGCGGCACATCAAGAGATCGCGGAGGGGAAAACGGGAGGAGGGAGGCGATTTCTGATTCTCTGCACTAAAAAGGTACAAAAACTGTTCCATGAATTCCATGGAGAGCTTTCAAACTTTCAGTGAAGATAAACACAATGTTCTTAGACACCGAAATGTGCTCCTGTTTCCTTTCCTGTGAAAAGCTTGTGGCGCATACAGATTCTTAAAAGAAGCATACTGCCAGTTTATAATTCAAAAGCTGCTTACAAATGTATAGCTTTTTTATCGCTCCTCTGAAAAAACAGTCTTTCTTGTTATCTACTGATTTTTAAGAGATGGGAGTTCGGTCCGAAAATAGGTCAAAGGAAGTGTCAAATCCGTGTCTCCTGGTAACTTATTTTTCGAGGAAACCGTTTGAAAGGTTTAATAACCCAAACTTGAGGGAGACGTAGAATGAAGTTAATTAGAATACTGGTTAATAAAAAACCAACTCATAATATAGTGGATGTAGAATTTCTTGAACAAAATAGATTAATACCAAAAATCGCAAGACTACCCGGCTGTCAGTGTGGGTATTGCATGTTAGTTTTTTTATGGGGACATTTCCACGCATCGAGCCCAGTTATGCCAGGCCCTCCGAGCTTTATCTGCGCATTTTTGGTTAGTCTCACCGTCTTTTTTTGCGACTTCCTCGGGAGACGTCAAGTGGTTGTCTGCTTTCTAACGAGTACCAATAGCCAATGCGAGACGCGTATTTAGCTGTTTTTCCAGTAAGAAATCGCTTTACTATGCACTTTTCGGGATTATTTGAATAGATATTTACATTCTCTTTTTACACTTCCCATGCCTCCTCTTTCTCCCTTGTTCCTTGCTAACCCATAGCATTTAAGCGCTGTCCTGAAACATTCCAAATGCATAATTTCTGCTCAAACTGCTTATTATTTCCTCATCCACGACTACTGTTTAATGCTAACACTCATTCAATTCATGCTTCTCATAAATGCTTTCTGCTTACAATAGTTGTTTCGCATGAAGAAACAGACAAATCAACTTAATCCGAAAAGCAGTCATCGGTTAGCAAGAATGGAGATAGTTCCCCCTCTTGTTGGGCTGATGGAGACAGGGCAATTATTGTGACTTGGCTTGGCTCGGCCGGATTGATGCAGAATCGCGAAAACTGCTGTTGGTGATGGGGAACATTATCCTGGAACTGGGTAAACGGTGACTGGTGAGGAGGAGAGTAGCATGGTGTGAGTCTCGACCGCAGAGACTCGAGGCCGGGAAA